AGAGAGAGAGAGAGAGAGAGAGAGAGAGTGTGTGTGTGTGTGTGTGTGTGTGGCGGGGGTCAGGATGGGTTTCCTTGTAGTACCCTGGGTTTTTTTCGTCATTTTGTTAAAATTAGCAATTTTAATATTAAAAATACTGATTTTTAATATTGAAAATAAAAGCATTTAATATCTCTTAAAGGGCAACCACACCTGCTTCTATGCAGAAAAGGGGGCATCACACGTGAGCTCACGGTGGAGGCGATCCACTCGCCCCGGCCCCTGGGGGCGCCGGTCAGGGTTACTCCCGTTGCTGCTGCTGGGGACTATGGCACTGGGGGCAGGTGGACGACAGACGGACCCTTTCTCTCCCTCCGCAGAGCCTGTGGTGGCCAACAGGGCAGGCAGGCAGGCAGCGGTCCTAGGCCAGGGCTGGGCGGAAGGTGCTCCAGGCGTGGAAGCAGCGGGTGAAGGCATGCTGCTCATTGCCCTTGCGCACCAGGCGCAGGCGGCGGGGACGCTCGTGCTCCTTGGAGCGCAGGTGCTGGATGTACACCTGGTGGGCGGGGCGGGTGAGTGCGCACCTGCAACCTCGGCCCCCCCCCCCAGCCTCGGCCCCTCCCCCACTCACCTGGCAGGCCTTCAGACTCAGCTTGATCTCCACCTGGCTTGTCTGCGTCCCCACCCACATGTAGACCTGTGGGGACAGCGGGGGAGGTGGTTGCCCGGCCTCGGAATTCCCATCCAGGGACGGCAGGACTCCCCAAACGGGCAGGGTTGAGGGGCTCTCACCTCTTGGCCATTGTCCAAGAGCATGATGTCATCGTCTGCCAAGTCGTCTTGGCAAAAGTCAGAGCACTTCTCGGTCACTGCGAAGTAGCCCTTCTCGTTGGAGCACCTTTGAGGGGGGGGCGGCCAAGGGTCATGGAGAGGCTGAGGGTCACAGCAGCAGGGCCAGGACAGGGGGACACTGGGGGCTGGGGCGGGGCCGTCCTCACCGGAAGAGCCGCGTGTGCTTCATGTACTCGGCGTCGTCGTCGTAGGGCTTCTGTGCCCCGATGCCCACCCAGAAAAAGTTCTCGGGCTCCCCGCCCTCACTGATGACCTGGGGGAGAGGCCGGTCAGCGCGGGGCCGGCAGCCCAGCCCCAGCCACCCACCGTGCGCCAGCCACCCTGCTCACCTGCTTGCTGTAGGAGGCCTCAAACATGCTATTCAGGATGTCCTCAGCCAGCTTGGCCTCGTCGGGGTCCGACGCCCGGCCCACCCACGCGTACACGATGCCCTGGTTGTCCTCGCTCTCAAAGGGAACCTGGGTGTGTGGGGGCCCAGGTCACGCCCTGCCCGCAGCCCCGCCCTGCCCTGCTCCCCGCCGCGCCAGGTCCCACCTTGAGGATGAAGCAGAACTCGGAGTTGAGGAGGCCGGAGTCGGTGCTGATCTGGATGCACCTGGGGGAGGGGAGGGGTCAGCACGGAGCCCAGGCGGGACACGGCCCACTGGCCTCCCGTGCCCGCCCCCCACAGCCAGGCACCGGGTGCAGAGGGCGCTGCCGTTGGTGCGGATCTGGTACAGGCTTGGCTGCAGGGCCCCCTGGGCCGCCTTCCTCTTGCCCCGGTGGATGATGAACTTTCTCTTGAAATGGGACAGGAACTTGGGGTTCTCCTGCTGCTGTGTCATGCGCACCACCTGGGGGCACGGGAGCCGTCAGGGGCAGCTCCCTGGCGGGGGCAAGGCTCCCCGTGTGGGGGCGTGGCCGGCGTACCTGCAGTCTGCCGGGGAAGAGGCTCTCAAACTTCCTCTGCAGGCTGAAGGTGAAGGTCAGCCAGCCCATGCTGGACGCCTCGCGGCCCTGCCAGAAGTACACCGTGCACTGCAAGTCCTCCTCGGGCTGCTGCTCCTCGGCCTCGGCCGCCACCACCTCGCCCTCGTCCCCAGCCTCCGCTTTCTTCTCTTCCTCGTACTCCACGGGGACCCAGTACCTGCGGGGCCAGAGGGCGGTGGTCGGCGCTGAGCCCCCAGCACCGACGG